TCAGGCGCAGCAGGAGCAGGCGCAGCAGGCGGCGCAGCAGCAGCAGCAGGCCGAGCAGGCGGCGGCGGCCGCGCAGGCGGCTGCTGCGGCGGCGGGCTCGGCAGCCGATGCCGCCGCCGCCGCTGGGGGCGTTGGTGCAGGTGCGGGCGGGGCCGCCGCGGAGGGCGCCCAGCAGGAGCAGCAGGAGCAGCAGCAGCAGCAGGCGGCGGCGGCGCTGGGGGCGGCGGCTGCGGGGCAGGAGGCCACGGGCGATGCCGCCGCCGCGGCCGCGCTTGGGCGCCAGCAGGCGGCCGGCGGCGAGGCCGGCACCCAGCAGGGGCAGGCGGCGGCGGCGGCGGGCGGCGGCGGCGGGCAGCAGGCGGCGCCCTGAGGCGCCCGGCGCCCAGAGGTTCTTCGGAGGTCGTCGGGTGGCGAGGGCGGGTGGCAGGCCCTGCGGCCGCCTGTGGCCACCCAGCGCAGCCTGTGCCGCCGCTCTGCCGTGCCGTGCCGTGCCCCCAATGCCGCCACGCCGTGTGCCGGCCCACGCCCAGAGCCCCTGCCTGCCTGTTGGTACGAACTGCCTCCCCCCCGCCCCTCATCTCCTGGCAGCTGCCCGTGAGAGAGTTGCCGCCACGGAGGGGGCGCTGGACCGCCGCCGCCGGGGCACGCCACATACGCACACACACGCGCGCATGCGCCCGCCACGGCATGGGCGGCGCCGCATGCCCCCCATGCAATCTGTTGAGGCGCTGAGGGAGAGCAGCATAGACACACCAGCCATCCCATCCCCCCCATCTGTTTCATTGCCCGGCCGGGCGGCGGCGGCGACCCGTGACCCCGCCGCCGCCAAACCGCGCCCTCCCTACACACACACGGCCGCTCAGCACTTGTAACCTAGTCCCTCTGTGCCCCAAGCCTTCCTTCTCACAGCTGGAGGCGCCACAGGTGCAGCTGGCGGTCGTAGAAGGAAGCTGTGGCTGCCAGCCAGGCGCCGCCGCTGCCATCCCCGCAGCCGCAGCCGCCCTCCGCCTCCTCTCCGCCAGTCGCCGCCGCCGCCGGCTCATCGCCCCCTGCCCCCTCAGCCGCTGCCGCCGCGCCAGCGGCTGCAGCAGCTGCCGCCTCCGCCTCGGCGGCGGCCGTCGGGTCGCGGCACCAGTCTGCGCCATAGCTCAGGGAGCCAGGCTGGTGCTCATACCGCGCCACCACCGCCAGCCGCGGCCGCCCACACGCCCCTCCTCTTTCCCCTGCCGCTCCTGCTGCCACCGCTGCCGCTGCTGCTCCTCCTGCTCCAGCCCCAGCTCCAGCTTCCGCGGGGGCGCGGTCCGCGTGCGCCGCGGCGCCGCCCTCCAGCCGTACCGCCGCGAATCCGCGGTACATGCAGGCCACCAGCAGCAGGCCCGGGTCGGCGGGGTGCCACTTGGCGCGCCACACGCCGCCGCTTGTGTCCAGCTGTGTAAGCAAGTGGGGGCGGCGGGGGGAGCGAGGGCGCTGGGGAGGTGGCTCGGGGTGGGACAGCTGGCTGGGTGACGGCAGCAGTGGAGGGGCGCTGCATGCACCAGGCATGCAGCCAGCCAGCGGCCACCCACCTCAGCGCACAGCAGGGGGCGGGCGGGCGCCCGCAGGTCCCACAGCCGCAGCCGGTCGTCGTACGATCCGGTACACACGTCGTACTGCCTGAATGGCGAGGAGGCCACGCAGGTGACCCCCGCGCCGTGGGTGCGCCGGTCCTGCGGGGCAGGCGACGGGTACCGCACGGTTAGGTGCCGCTGGCAAAGCGTGGCGGCGCGTGTCCCCCCTGGGAGAGGTCTGGGGAATGGCACACAGGAGCCAGAGTGAGGGTCCCTCCCAGCTGCCACTAACTGGTGGCAGGTGCATCGAAACAGCGACAAGC